CAGCGTACGCACCACTCGAAAAAGTCTACAGCGACATCCTCTACAATCGCGAGCCAGGACAAGTCAACTACAACTACACCATCACCTTCATCGACGCCGCCACTCGATACGTCTGGCATCGCAACCTACCCAGCCGCGACATGGCGCTCGCAGCATTCGCCGCCTGGCTACCGATAGCAGAGAGAGAGTCTGGAACACAACTGAAAAAATTCCAGTCAGACGGAGGTGGCGAGTACACCTCTCACCGCTTCAAGCAGTTCTTGGCGGAAAGGGGGATCAAGCAACTCCTCTCCCTTCCTTACGCACATCAGCAGCAAGGTGTTGCAGAACGACTGAACAGGACCCTGCAGAACAGCATGCGCAAACTATTACGTGGCATGCGGCTACCCAACCACCAGTGGCCAGCAGCAATGGACCACGCTGTCATGCTACACAACTTGTTGTCGTCGTCGTCACTCCCGAACAACGCATCACCGCATCTGCTGTGGACAGGGAAGCAGGGCAGCACGAAAATGTTACGAGTTTTCGGGTGCATGGTACAGTACAGACCCCCAGAAGCACGAGCGGGAAGATTTTCGCAACGGGCACAGTGGGGACTACACCTCGGCATCGAGAAAAATTACAACGCATGGAAAATCTTCGACGTCCACACAAAGGAAACAGTAGCAGCACGTGACGTGATCTTCTACGAAAGACTCACCCTTCAGACGTACCTCGCCAACTTGCACGAGAATCGGGACCTCACCAGTGGTTTTCGTGGTGACCGAGCCTTCGCGTCAGCAGCGGACGAAGCAGACTGGGATGAACAGAACGTCGACAACGCCTCAGAAGAAGCCGGACCTCTCCCATACTGCTCCGTCGACGTGCCCATGGATGAGGATAATCCTCGCGACAGTAACAACGCCGAAATCTTCTACCGTTTCGCCGACGATGGTTACGTAACACCTGTGACAGTCAACACCAACGAAGCAGAAAGGGTAGGGCCAAATTTCATGCCCGACCCAGAAACGGGAGACGAAGCAGCTTATCCCGAGGATCCAGAACTCCCTCGATACTCACAGACTGGGCTGCAAATCCTCGGCCTCGTCACCGCAGTCCACGGGAACACACGCAGCTCGCTTCCTAAGGAGCCTGCAACGGTTCAGCAGGCTCTGGGGGGGGAACACAGGGAGAAATGGCGTGAAGCCATGGATAGAGAACTGAAGGCATTAGAGGAACGCAACACTTGGAAGGTTGTTCCCGTAAGCGTGGCACGGAACAAAACCATCCTTACCGGGAAATGGGTCTTCCGCATCAAGACAAAAGCAGACGGCACGATCGAAAAATTCAAAGCACGCTGGGTCGTACGTGGATTCGACCAAGAGCAAGGACGAGACTTCACCGAGACCTTTGCTCCAGTCAGCCGCCACACGTCACTCCGAATTCTCCTCGCCATTGCCGCCATGAAGAAGAAGAAGTTACGGCAGATCGACGTCGCGAATGCCTTCCTCTACGCACCTGTGGATGCAGAAATCTACGTCGAGCTCCCGCACGGTTCCCACGGCGAACCCAACCGAATCTGTCAACTACTTAAGTCGCTCTACGGGATCAAGCAGGCACCGCGACTGTGGCAGCAGTACCTGCACGCCCGTCTCATCCGCATCGGCTTTAGTCAACTACCTCACGACCAAGGCATGTACCGCCTCACTAAGGGAAGCGACTACGTTCTCCTGATCGTCTACGTGGACGATCTCCTCTACATTGGGTCAACCGACGGCATCGCCACGTGGTTCGAAGGAGAGCTCCAGAAAGACCTCACGCTCACGGTCTCCTCCACCGTTACACAGTACCTCGGGCTCAACATCCGCGAAGAAGAAAACGCCATCTATCTAAGCGCCGAGAAATACGCCGACACCATCGCGAAACGCTTCAGCCTCACACCAAGCGCCATCTCCACGCCCTACCGCTACACATCAGGAACCGAGAAGGAACGAACTACTCTACTCAAGCCCGCCGGCATACGCGACTATCAGAAGAAGCTCGGATGCCTGCTATTCGCCGCCGTCACCTGCCGTCCTGACTTATCCTACTCCGCAAGTCAGCTCGCCACCTATCTCAAGAAGCCTGAAGCTGAACACCTGGCGGAACTTGATCGCGCTCTCCACTACTTCGTCAGCACCGCGACGATCGGGCTAACCTACCACAAGAGCGCAGCTACACCGACTAAGCTAATCGGCTACGTCGACGCCGATCACGCCGGCGACACCGACAACAGGCGCTCACGCACCGGCTATGTCTACCGCCTTGAGCCTATCGGTCCTATCTCCTGGCAGTCGAGCAAGCAGGAGTTAATCGCACTATCTTCAGCAGAAGCAGAATATATTGCACTCTGCTCAGCCACCAAGGAGGGACTTTACCTTCGCGAACTACTGGAAGAAGCGAAGCTAGCCGAGTTACCCAGCTTCACTGTGTTCTGCGACAACCAGTCAGCAATTCGCATCGCCAACAAAAACGGCTTCGCAAACAGGACGAAACACATCGCCCTGCGCTATTTCTTCGTGAAGGACGAGATAGAAAAAGGGAAACTCGATCTGTCATACTGTCCAACATCCGAGATGGCAGCCGATTACTTGACCAAGAAACTCGGCAAGCAGAAGTTCGAATACTGCATGATGCTGACTGGACAAGGCCACGTCACCAGCAGTAACACTCCAGAAGCGAAGGGGAGTGTTGGAAACAATAAGTCCTAAGTGCGCTTCTGTCGTATCAAAATCCAAGGTACCAAGCGAAGCAGTCCCAATCGAAGCATCGAGTCAACCTCGGAGGTTAGGGTAACCGCCTGGAGGTTACGAGAAAGTCAAAGGTCGCTGACCTTTGACTCGACAATTACAGCGCGACAGTTAAGGACACACAACTGACTCGTTACAGAGCAGTTGCCCGAGTCGCGCTATATCGAACCGCAACAGCAATACAGTTATCTATCTATTCCCTGTACTCTTATATAAATCCTTGTATTTGCTTGTTTAATTCAATCAACTTTGCTCTCACACACCAGTGCAAGGTCGGTTCAAATTCTTCACTAAACGCTTCCGCTATTACAACTACTTCACCTAGAGTTATCCCTTGCAAAGATCCTAAGGGGCTATCTCAGCCCAACACTTGTAACATTCTCCATAAAACTCAGCTTTCCGCATTACTTCACCTTCCTACAGCACTGAATTCAGTAGTTTCGTTTCCGTGTATCCGGATTCTCTGTACGGTTCAGGGCCTAAGCGGAGCATTCCCATGTTGCGATCCTTCCGACGAGATTTCAGGATCACAACCACCACCCCTGGGCCCAGTTCTGTTGGCCAGCGGTAAATGGAGGGCGGACAGCCCAGCACAGCAGCGCTGGTGCGGCTGGGTGCTTCCGCGAAGCCAAGAACCACCCACGTTGGTGCGATTCAGCTTCCTGCCACCCTCCGCGCAACTAGAGGAGCTTCGTAAAAGTTTTTCTGTGCTGGCCGCTAAAATGTTTTCCGCGACGATAATTGGTGGGTTTGGAGCAAAACAGCTAACCCGTACCAAAATAATTCTCTTCACCAATGGGACATTGCCCTCTCCCGTAATATGTTTTTTCGGGGCATTTGTTCCTGCCCAGAACTACTTGTGCTGTCCCTGGGTCCGCGATTCGAGCGGGACCCAGTCTCGCACCAGTCTCGCACCCAGTTTGCCTGGGATGAGCGGACAGCACAGCACTACTGGTTCAGCGTTCTTTTGTGCTTGGTAGGCCGCACAGCAAGCACAGCACTGGCCAGGTTCGGGAGAGCGTTCAATGTCCCGAGCCTGATTCAAGGTATGCTTCCTTGGAGTGGAATCTTCGAGGATCACCGGTAGAGGTCCTCTCGAAGCATCATCTAGTGCTGTGCGGAGGGGTCCGCACCAGTAGTGCGGCAACAGAACTGGGCCCTGAAAAAATCCTTTCATTCCCCAATTTCCGCCAAAAGAGGTACGCGGCTCTATCGTCCACCAATTGGAAGCAGCTTTGTGCGCCCAAATTGATGGTTACCCTTGTTGTGTCGCTGTCGTCTTCGCAAGCTTCCCATGGCCGCCATTTTGGTCCAAGCCCCTCCGCCTTCCGCCAATCGGGGAAACCTTGACCCCCCTGCCCTCACCGTGCTCCGCGCAGTTCAGCTTCAGCCCCTCACTCAAATGTCCAGGAAGAAAAATGCTCAGCTATTCTGGGCCCCTGCTCAGGTATTTCAAGCCACTAAGTCATTTTCATTCTCCATTTCCAACGCGCTTTTCTCAAATCAACCCCCTCCTCTCCAGCACCTAAATCCTCACCACTCGCTTGCGCACTCCCTCGCAATGGCTCGCGGAACTCGTGTACTTCTCGTCGCGCTCCTGTCGCTCATTCTCGTCGCGCAGCACGTCGCTGCTCTTGAGCAGGGTGCGTCGAATGTGCATTCGAATGCGTTTCGTGAATGCTTCCTTGTCGGTTTTTCCCCATATGTTTGATTAAACTCATCATGGCTCACATTTATTTCCCTTGCTTCCCCTAAGTGTTTCTCGTGTCAATTTTCGGTCAGAAATTTCTCTCAGACAGTTGTCTCGCTCGCATTTTTTCCCTTCAGCGCCATTTCCAGCTTCGAAGGACGATGGCAGCAAGAAGGACGGAAGCAAGGACGGAAGCAAAGACGGAAGCAAGGACGGAAGCAAAGACGGAAGCAAAGACGGAAGCAAAGACGGAAGCAAGGACGACGGAAGCAGCAGCAACCCCAAGTACAAGCGCTTGATTGTTGTGCTGTACGAAGACGTCAGCGTCAACACCAACATTATAGCTGTGAGTTTCGCCGGCGCTCTTTCAACACAGCGGGTTGCATTACGTGTCCGGCTGCCGCATCCGATCCGTTCGCTGTCGCCTGCTACTATCGTATTACGACTAGTAAACCGTCATTTCCGTCGTCTGTTATTTTTCTGAGTCTCCGTATGCCTTTTTCTCTTCTCTTTTCTCTGAAATCTCATTATGATGTGAGCAGGGCGGATCTGGCGGCACGGGGTCGACGCTCATGTACAGCACGCCTCTCTACAAGACGAAGGACCTTACGGGCAAGGTATTTTATGATCCCTCGGCTGTCTGTCTGGAACTAGCTTCCAACCTCCAACGAACATGCCTCCAGATGGAAACTTGGAACGAGCATGTTCTATGTTTTCCGGCAAATCGTGCCGTCGACGCCGCATTTTTTTTTTGTTTCTTCCCCTGCTTTTTTTTTTTTTTTTTTTCCAGGTTGGTCAGCACTACCTCACTGCGGTAGCCTTGTGGAACGACATGGTGATGCTCTCCTGCAGCCTCAACTTCCCCAATGGGATTGTTACCGTCTCAGGTGTGCTATCTTTGCATTGTGCTGTTCTCCTCGCACCATGTGATGTTGCATTTCATCAAATCTCATAAGTTCTAGGGAGCGCCGCGGGCGAATTCAAAGAACAGAATGCTGTAAAGCACGAAACCCGAAACCCGAAACCCGAAATGAGTATCGTTCTTCTTGCCCCTCGTGTTCTTTCAGGAGCTTTCAAGTGGACGGAGAACGTGGGGAGGGTTGCAGTGACGGGAGCCACGGGCGCTTATATTGGGTACTCTGGTACGGCGTTCATTTACGGTTTGGACGGCACCGTGAAGAACAGCAAGAAACATCAGCTCGTGTTCAAGTTGTTCAAGGCCACGTCTTAAATCTCCAAGGCTCATCTCGTTTCAGTGTCCCACTCTAGTTTTCGGAAGAGAACAATCTGGAGATTAGCTCACCTATTGTTTGCAGTTCGCGCAGCGTAGTAGAATCTGAGCCTAAACCGTAGGGGTGGGGGTGTGCTGGGCTGTGGTAGAGCTGTAGTCACTGGTGGGTTTGTTGCAATATAGTTGGAAATAAAATTTCACATTCGGACGTTAATTTCTTATTCAAACGAGAATAATGTGCAAGGATGATAACCTAAAGAAAGGTGAAATTCTCGGTAACGAGCACAAAAGTGGTGGCGCGTGCTCAGGGAGAAACCAACAACCCCGAGATTGGGGAAGGGGAGCGACCAAGGCGGAGAGGTGAGGGGGATGGAGGTGGGCGGGGGCCACGCCCTGCGGCGGCACCGCGCTCGAGCCCCCTCCCCTGAAGAAGGCGATGCGTTGCGATGCGAGCGTGTGAATCGTGTCGTGTCGTGTGGGACGACGGCGGCGTAGCGCGTGGACAACAGAAGCACCTGAAATGGTCAAAAACTGTTCAAAAGCGGCAGTCGAAATGTGACGCTGGCGGACCGCGCTTGGGAACGCTGCTTGTGATGTGAACCGAACATTCGATTGATGACGATCAGGCCTGTCGCTTGCAGGGCGTTTGCCCTGCTGGACCTTGAATTCCAGGGCTGGGTTTCCCTTGAAAACTGAAATTGATGGGTTGAGAAAATTGTGGCCCTGATTCATTACAGGGCTGATTTCGGGCTTAGGTCTGGAGTGTTAAGGGTAGATTTTAGGCGAGCCCTGGAACAAAGTCTTTCGAACTTCCCCTCCCACTCCTCCCCCCCCCCCCCCCTCCCCCCCTAACTCCTCCATTCCCCCTCCCCCCGTTTCTATTTTGATTGCATTCAAGCCTGTCAAATTTGGAGTTGCGTGGCTGGACCACAGATTCAACTCAACCAACAACTGGTACTTGTACCAATTACAACCTTCTCCCATCCCATGACACACAGACAGTAGCATGAACCAACATGCAGCAGCAAAACACATCTCAGATCCCCGTCATGTTGTGCACCCTCAGGCCTGAATAGGCATAGCAAGCAGCAAAACACATCTCAGATCTTTGCTAAGAGTTGGAAGAGGAGGAAGTCTGTTACGCGTGCGTAGTGAATGACGCTAACTAGTTTTTTTATTGCTAACTAGCTAATTTGATACTAGCGGAGTGCAGCTGTCAGCTTAGTGGTAGAACCGAGGCTGCAGAATTTTCCGCGGCAAACCTGATTTACAGGGAGGAAAAATTTCAGCCCTCAAGCCTAAAGGGCCGAGATTCGCCCCGACCCTGCTAAATACAGGGTCGTACATGCCAGGCCCCCTGATTTGTCCGGGGGGGGCAAAACGAAACGACAGCCCTGATGACGATGTATTATCTGATGTGTCACGGTCAAATTTGTGAAATGAGATGTGCCATCTGCCAACTTCGATTTGACAGAGTCGAAGCGGGTCCCGTTGAAAACCAATCGCATTGACTCGCTCAATCCGTACAGCTTTCCGAGCCAATGATGCACTCCATTCGCACGACGACGCATATCATGCCATGCCAGCAAGCAAGCTGGAAGGGTCCTCGTTTGTACCACGTGACACGAGCACAAGGCAAAGGGCTTAATTGCAGGTTACGCGACAGAAGTTTGCATCATATTTTAACACACATTATAAAAACCCTTCACTTGTTACGTCTACTAGCTAAATATTGGTTGTCTTTCCGACAGACTCAATCGTGAAATCTTCCAGTCTGGGGAGCACCTCGTTTCTCTGCACACACCAAATGAAATGTACAGTAGCAGGGTTGGAGGTGAGGCACGAATGGAGAGAGCAATGCTAGCCACCAGAGTGCCTAGACATGTACCTTGAGAAAGGGAATGGGTGAACCACTCTGGTAGGACACCAGCGCACAGGCAGCAGCACCCAACGCCACAGCACCCTGCACAACACCTGTTGCAGTGCTGCCAGTAGCGGCTGTAGCACCATCAGAGCCAACCCCTCTTGAGTCCAGTACCAGGCCATCAGAGGTGGTATCGGCACGCAGAGCACCAGCTGCTGACGATAATGTGTCCACCAATGGCAGCCCTCCAAATGATGTTGCCGCCCATGTGCCACGTGGCATTGTGGCGACAGTCAGGTAAGGATCGGTCGGCGTGGGAGCATCAGCGTTTAGAGGCACGACAATTGCCAGAATTTTATCCCACCCGGACGATTCTGGAGGGCTGATGAGCATGAGTGGGCCCTTGGGAAAATTTTTGTTTCTGGCTGTTGGCTCTCTGGAAGGTTCTGGAGGTGGAGGTGCTGCTGCTGGAGTCGCTGGAGCTGGAGGTTCTGGAGCTGCTGGAGGCGCTGGAGCTGCTGGAGGCGCTGGAGCTGGAGGTGCTACTGCTGGAGTCACTGGAGCTAGAGGTGCTGCTGCTGGAGGCGCTAGAGCTGGAGGTTCTGGAGCTGCTGGAGGCGCTGGAGGTACTGGTACTGGTGGCACTGCACCGTCATGACTATTTTTCGCTCCGCCGTCACCATCGTCAAGCCACCGCCTTACTCCGTGCTTCGCCAGGTTCTTGCCTCCCGTCTTCTACTGGCCTCCCGTTACAGCCCGGCGCACCACTGCCTGCTCCTCCTCCTTACACTGAGCAGATAGACTCGCTTACAGAGCATCGTGAGCTTGCGTCTCGTCCTGCCTCGCCTGTTCGCGCGTGTCGCACTAGTCGTCGTGTTCCTCGTTAGCGTCCGCCTCCTGTCCCTGGCACGCACGCTATGGCACTTTGTCCTTCCTCTGTTCCACAACGTGTTCCCCTACCGTCTCCTCCTGCGTCTTCTCTACCTGAGGTTTAGGACCCTGCATCTGACCTAGTTCGTGCTGCTCACCCTACTGTCACGCGTCTGCTAGCCACTGTTGTCACTGACCTGTCGTTTGAGTCTGCTGCTGCGTCTCCCTTAGTCTCTGAGCTTGTTAACTTTGCTGCAGCCTGTCGTCTCGACTTCGCTGCTAGTCTTGTTGTTGAGTCTGAGTTTGTCTGTCCTCCGTCCGTCGGGGGTGAGTGTGCTTTTGGCACGGACGTCCTTGAGGACAGGCAGGAGGACTTTGTGTGTTGCAGCCGCTGCACCTCATCTCGTGACCATGCTGCTTGCCCTTGAGGGAGACCCGGATGCTCCAAACATCCCGGCCCCGCGCTCTTACGCTGAGGCGATCGCGTGTGAGTACTCCTCTCAGTGGTAGACAGCCATGGACGCAGAGATGGCATCCTGGAAGTCCACAGGCACTTACGTCGACGCAGCTCCCCCTCCTGGGGCGAACGTAGTCAATGGCATGTGGATTTTCAGGGTGAAGCGGCCGCCGGGTTCTCCGCCTGTCTTCAAAGCTTGTTACGTTGCGCGAGGCTTCAGTCAGCAACAGGGGGTTGACTTCTTCCAGACCTTCTCCCCCACCCCGAAGATGACCACTCTTCGGGTTCTGCTGCACGACGTCGCTCAACGTGACTACGAGCTTCACTCTTGGACTTCACCACAGCGTTCTTACAGGGCAGTCTGCACGAGGAGATCTGGCTGCGCCGCCCACCTGGCTTCACTAGGTCGTTCCCTCCTGGTACCCAGTGGAGCCTCCGCCGGCCAGTCTACGGTCTCCGTCAGGCGCCTCGCGAGTGGCTCGACACAGTGAGGACGACACCTGCGGCTCTTGGGTTTGCTCCTTTGACTTCTGACCCGCCGCTGTTTCTGCGCACCAACACTTCGTTGCCGCCGTTCTACATCCTCGTGTACGTGGACGACTTGGTCTTTGCCACTGCTGACACTGAGGCTCTCACCCTTGTGAAGTCGGAGGGGCAGAAGAGACACACTTACACAAACCTGGGTGAGCTGCGCAGCTGCCTTGGCCTGCAGATCACCCAGGATAGAGCACTTCGCACCATCACACTGACTCAGTCACACATGGTGCAGCAGGTCCTTCAGCGCTTCGGCTTCACTTCGTCCTTGCCACAGTCCACTCCTCTGGCTACCGGTCACTCGCTCTCAGCTCCACTTTCAGACGAGTCCGTAGAGCCGAGTGGCCCGTACCCAGAGCTAGTGGGCTGCCTCATCTACCTGATGACCTGCACTCGTCCTGACCTCGCGTACCCTCTTGGCCTTCTGCCACGTTACGTGGCTCCTGGTAGGCACTGAAAGGTGCACATGGATGCTGCGAAGAGGGTACTGCGCTACTTGTGCAGTACATCGGGCATGGGGCTCGTGCTTGGACGGCGGAGCTCAGTTGTCCTCACTGGGCACTCAGACGCTTCTTGGGTTGACGACCTGGCTACGCAGCGGTCGTCACAGGGTTACACGTTCAGCCTTGGCTCTAGCTCTGTTTCTTGGCGGTCTACACGCTCGTCTTCTGTTCTCAGCCCCAGTTGTGAGGCTAAGATCTACGCCACAGCCATGGCTGCACAGGAGCTATGCTAGCTCACCTACCTGCTGACTGACTTGGGAGAGACGCCTCGTTCTCCTCCAGTTCTGTACGTCGACAACAGGGCTACCATTGCCTTGTGTCAGGACCACAGACTGGAGCACAGAACGAAGCAGATCGCTCTGCGTTACTTCCTTGCTCGAGAGTTGCAGTAGCGTGGTCAGCTTCGTGTCGCTCACGTGCCCACCCGGGCCGACACGGCTGATGTGTTCACCAAGGCCCTTCCGGCTGGTGATCATCAACGCTTCTGCATTGCTCTAGGCCTGGTGTCTAAGTTTCCTCACTTGCTGTAGACTCTGGTTGTACTGTGATCTCTATATATATATATATACCTGTTTGTTCACTCTTGCTAGGTAGTGATCACTGTACTGTTGTTGTTACATATATACCTCTGTATGTGAACTGGCCTTGTGGCCCTTTCCTTGTGGTCGGAGTGTGTGGTGACGTTGTGATCCACCCTGAGCTTGCTTTGCTTTTCTTGACTGGTCTTGTGACCCCTTGTTCTCCCCCACTTTGCCTATGGGGGTGTATCAAACCATATATGTGCTAGTTGTGTGTAGGCTATAGTGGGGTAGCCCACGTGGGATACAACCCAATATTAAGGCTAGTACTTGTACCCACAATTCACTCAATGCACTCATTCTTGCTTGCTATCTTGACATAACAGACACATGATACTAACCCAACAATAATCTCGATAGGATACTGTACCATGCCAAGAGCCACGAGTACATTGAACCGTGGCTTGCCTCCTTAGCTTCTCCCGTCGTGGGCTGGGGGGAGTGCCAGGAGCAGAGGGCCAGATGTCAGTCGCTGATTAGCCGAAAGAAGAACTTTTAGCGAATACTACAAGGGGAAGATGATTTCGCATAAAATAGAGAACGTAGAGGACTGTACATGTAACAACAGAAGACTAATCTTACTACTGTAAATTGTCGATGATGATTCGTCAATGTTGCACAAGACATGTTTTAGCATAAGCCATTGAGGCCTTCTTTTGCATCTTATTCCCCATAGCAAAACAACGCAGCCAGAGACGATTCCCCTACCACAGCCCAAACTATACAAGACAACGGCTAAAAACCACTCATAATCTCCCCATTCAGACTAGGGGTACATTCCTGTGGGGACACAAATGTCTCAATCGCTTTGTGACACACAAAAACAACATAAACTGTAGTGTGTCCCAATTGCGAGTCGCCTTTCCGCGACCATAACTGTATTTTTTATTGGTCAGCGTGAAACGCGCTGACGTCGGTGACGAATTGTAATCCGACTCGTCTATGTAAAAAATTCGCACGCGGCTCGAAATGTCAATGCACCTGGACAGCCTGCAGTGCCAATTTCGTGCGGGAAAAAATCCCGCGCGTCGAAACCACACCCCAGCCAAGCGGTTGAAGAAAGGGATGTACAATCATTTGTGTCACCCAATCAAATGCGCACAACTGTACATTTCGCTTGGTCGCCTAGAGTCGCGATACATTGGTTGTTTGTGACACAACATTTGGCAAATTTACAGACGCGACTCGGGAAAACGGGGATTGAGACACAAGTGTCCCCGCAGGAATGTACCCTAATGCAGCGCAAACCAGAAGAACATATTTGATCCTTGAAATCTAATAAGTGGCCTTGAACGCCTTCAGGACGAGCTGGTGCTGCGTGCTGGTCTTCACGGTGCCATCCAGACCGTAAACGAACACCGTACCCGAGTATCCAACATAGGCGCCCGTCCCTCCCGTTATGGCGACCCTCCCCTCGTTTTCCGTCCACTTGTAAGCACCTGGAAGAGCACGAAAGAACACGATTATGAACTTTGTGCTTCACGGCGGCCTGTCCACCTTCAGCGCCCCCTAGCACTATGAGATCCAATGATTTTTAACATCAAATGGATGCGACAATAACAACACAATGCAATAAGCAACACCCGAGATAGCCCACCTGAGGCGGTAATAATTCCGTTGTCAAAATTGAGGCTGCAGGTGATCATGATTAGGTCATTCCACATGGCTACTGCTGAGAGGTAGTGCTGGCCAACCTGAAGAACGGAAGAAGGAAAGAAACAAAGTAGAAAAAAATACATAAAATTATCAAACAAACCGACGTCTTGCCAGCTATATATATAAAGATCCTTCTTACACATATACGCGCATTCAAATCCCTCACAAGTAAGAGCTAGAGTGTGCCAATCAGGCAGACAGCCAGATGGATTATTCAGTACCTTGTTTGTAAAGTCCTTTGACTTGTAGAGAGGCGTGCTGAACATGAACCTCGACCCCGTGTCGCCAGATCCGATCTGCTCACATTGTTTGGTTTCAGCGAGAGAGGAAGATGGAAATGCACAGACGACGGGAAAAGGCGGCTTATTGGAATAGTAGATAGAAGCCGATAGCTAATGCTTTGGATGCGAAATCTTGACTGATATTGCCGCCGTCTCATCGAAAGAGCGCGACGCAACTCACGGCGTATTGTTGGTGTTGACACTGACGTCTTCTACTGGCATGGAGGCATTTCTTGAGTCTACTCAGAATCACAGGCACAACCCACAGCTGCAATGTTGGTGTTGAAGCTGACGTCTTCGTCCAGCACTGAGGCATTTCTCAGCACTGAGGCATTTCTCAGCACTGAGGCATTTCTCAGCACTGAGGCATTTCTCAGCACTGAGGCATTTCTCAGCACTGAGGCATTTCTCAGCACTGAGGCATTTCTCAGCACTGAGGCATTTCTCAGCACTGAGGCATTTCTCAGCACTGAGGCATTTCTCAGCACTGAGGCATTTCTCAGCACTGAAATATTTTTCAGCACTGAGGTATTTCTCAGCACTGAGGTATTTCTTCAAGAATCAAGAGCGCGGCGCAACTCACGGTGGTACTGTTGGTGTCAACGCTGACGTCTTCGTAGAGCACTTCAGTCCAAAGCTTGTTCTTGGAGTTGCTGCCATCATTCTCGCTGCCATCCGTGCTGCTGCCGTCGACCTTGGAAGCTGGAAAGTGACGGGGAAGAAGATAAATGCGAGTGACACAAAGGTGAGAGAGGAATCGACTCAAGAAAACTTAGGGGAAGCGAGGGGAAGAGATTCGAGCCATGAAACGCTGGCCAGAGTTTGCGTGGTCGTAGCATTCAACCATTGCAGATGCAGGACGATGAGTTCAATGATATGGCAAACGGAAAAGCCCACAAGCAAGCATTCACGAAACGGCATTCGTAGTTAAGGTACCTTTGACGCACCTGGCCTGAGAGCTGCGACGAGCTGCCCGGCGAGAATGAGTGCCAGGAGCGCGACGAGAAGAACACGAGTTTCGCGAGCCATGGCGAGCGAGCGGACGGGATATTTAGGTGCTCGAGAAAAATGGTTGAGCTGAGAAAAGCGCGTTGCTTGGAAATGCAGAATGGAAATGACTAGGGACCTAAAATACCCGAGCAGGGAATTCTACCTAGGCATTCGAGGGAAATTCCAGAATTCAAGAACTGCTCTAATGCGGCAGACGAAATTCTACGCTGGCAGACCTCGCGTGAGAGCGCTGTTCGTCGACCTGACTCGACAACCATGGCGCCACCCGAAGCTTCGATAACTGACGAGGTGGGAATAATCTCTGATGTGTCAAGGCCAAATTCGTCTATGAGGAGAGTCATGAGCCAGCCTTGAAGTTTGTCAGGACTGGCAGTGGCAGGGGAAGTGACTTGTGCTGAGCCAATATCAGCTGCAGTCAGCTTATGCCAGTGCGGGGTTGCATTTGCATTCCTTTGCCGGTCTGTACTGGGAAGTAGCTGGCGGAAGTCTCACAGTTCCTTTCGCCATCGCAAAATAGTTCGTATCTACCCTAGGTCTGTCAGAATAAACCCCATCTGGATGCACACTGGTTGGGAAATAATAAGTTCGTGTCCGTAGGGTTGACATGTCAAGTGAGAGCGCGTCAACCCGAAGCGCAATTGAATTAGAGTGTCAAATATTGTAGCTGACGTGTCAGGTCGAAGCGCATGTACGAACATCAGCGACTCATTTTCATTGGTTTGAAAAAAATTGTCAGGTGTGGATCTGCTAGGCAGCGAACGATTCAAAAGACATATTGTGTGCTGATTGGGCAACATCTGGTTGTGAGATAGGTACCTGCGACAATTTTCTGTCGTTTGAAGGTTTGACTGTGCCAATTTCAAAAGTGTCCGACGATTTGTATTGGCTGACATCCTACAATCTCTTGACTCCCTGCCAGTAATGTTGGCTGAGTGTCAAGATGCCAAATTGACACTGCCCATTTGGACATATCATCTCTACGGACACGACCTGATTGTTTGTACCTAGCAACACGAAGTGATAGCGCAAACGGCTAGGAACTAGAACGAGAAATATTCGAGATGGCGCATGCACATACAAAGCGCATACCTAAACCGTACACATGCATCATTACAACGGTTTGACATAAAATATCCTAGCTACAAGAAATCTGCTTTCCGACAGACTCCAACGAGAAATTTTCCAATCTGTAGAGCACTTCGTTTCTCTGCACAAGCACTCCGAGAACACACGTGAGAATTGAGCATGGGTGGTACAATTGGAGCGAGAAGTGCATGCAAAATAAGTGCCTCCCTACGTACCTTGAGGAACGGAATGGGAGACCCACTTGGGTAGGACACCAGAGCAGAAGCAGCACCCCCCAACCCCGTGCCTCCCTTCACTGCATCTGTCGCAGTGTTGTCCGGGGCAGCTGTAGACCCGTCTGAGCCGGCTCCTCTTGAGGCCAACAACAAGCCATCAGAGGTGGCATCAGCCCGCAGAGCAGCAGCTGCTGACGAGAATGTTTCCACCAATGGCAGACCACCAAATGATGCAGCCGCCCACGCGCCAGGTGGCATTGTGGCAACAGTCAGGTCAGGATCGGTCGGAGTGGGCGCATCAGCGTCGAGAGGTACGGCAATCGCTAATATTCTATCCTGCCTGGCAGACTCTGGAGGGCTGATGATCATGAGGGGGCCCTCGGGAATAGTTTTCCTCTGGCTGTTGGCTCCCTGGAAGTACCTGGAATGGGAAGAATCACAAGATGAATCACAAGATTTAGAGAGAAAGTATGGCTAGTAACTGCCCTGCATCTGGTAGCAGCAAAACAGAGAATTACCTCTAAACGTTTATCATTGCACAAAGAACAGTGAGATGTGACCTATACTTATTTTGATCCGGCTACAAAACAACACACACCTATACAGCTTCTGACTCAAAACCAGCGACATACCTCTTCAGCTTTTCCACTTGTGGACTGGGAGGAGTGCCAGGAGCAGTGGGCCAGATGTCCGTTGCTGATTGGACAGGCGAGTTGACCTGAACGACTTGGTAGGCAGGGTAATCCCTCACCTGGAGGAAAGGGGAGGGGGGGAGGAGGGGAATGAGAGACACACAGGGAAGGGAATAACAAACACACTGAGAGGGGGAGAATGGAGAAAGAATGAGACGAGGATGGGAGTTTATAGTTGCTGATAGATGAGATGGAGAGCGAGAAACACAGACACATGAATTCTTGTGCCAGCTATTCAATGGGGGAGAGGGAGGTGGAGAGACACACCCACCTCGTGGATTGCTTGCCGCCATGACACATTAAATTCAGAGAAACTCAGCTAACATGGCAGCGAGTGTACAGTCAGCATCAGCATTGTTGTTGTTTCTTCTTCTGTATTAGTTTTCCCGCCGTAGTAAAAGACGTCGCCTTTCTCAAGCAAAACCTGAACCCCTCATGAGAGAAGAAGGCATCCCCTCCCACTCTAGCCCCGCTTCTTTATTCAACACGCGGACACACCCACCTCATAGCTTGCCCTCCGCAGCAGAACGCCAAACTTTGGGGAGTTGAGCTGGGCGGGCGGCGAGTAGAGCGTCATCAACTGCTTCACCAAATCCCGAAGTCCTTCCTGGGAAAAATAGCCGTTGTCCTGAATGGAGTCCCACACGTCCCTGTGACTGATGAACTGCTGCGAGCGCGGGTCGATGCCGTAGATTGAGAGGCCTGTGAAGACCACCTCTGGGCGCCATGGCAGTAGCCAAAAGTACATCTTCATCGTCCATCGCGTTGTGATCTCCGCTGGGCCGGACTGGAGGGGTGAGATTGGGAAAGTGGGACAGGAGAAAGCGGAAACCCCGTGAGGAGGGAAAACCCGTCAGGGTTGCCCACAAAACGGCAAGAGGGGGAATGGGCCAGGAGTGACGAGGAGTCGCCACGGGAGCAGCCAGAAACACACCTACACCTTTCATCGTGTGACGCGCTCCAGTGTACGGCACTGATTGAAGTGAAGCCAATGTGAAAACATGTCAGTGGTGGCACAAGAAAGGGAGGGATGTAGGTTCTAATACTAGATTGTAGCGTTTGTGGCTACCGCGAGTGGCTTCCACGAGTGGTTGTTCACTTAAACGTGTGTGCTATGTATAACCTCTCAAGGTGATGTCATGAGTGCACCGTCCGAACCATCGCCGCAGCTGTGTTGTGCTGTACGATCGGGTGGTAACAATGTGGTAGTAAAATTATCTGAAAGTTAACATTTAACCTGTTATGGATCATCAATCAGAGCCTACTTGGTTTACGGAGCTATGGTGCATACCTGGTATGTGTCTTGGAGAATGAAGACGGGGTGAAACAGGTACCGCAGCATCTGGATATTAAAGAGATATCCCGCCAGCGTGTCGTACCGCGTTATGGGGTCCTCGAACTCCACCTTGTCCGCAAAGCGCGCCGAGCTCATGCCCTGAAAAAGCATTGGAAGGATTCGAACAATTATAGGTTATGGTATCGAATAATACATCCCGGCAACAACAACCTACGCCGGTAAAAGCAGTGCATTGTTCGCGATTACTGGTCCAGTAGTGGTCATGGTAACAGTCAGAGAATATTGATGTCACTTACCCCTTCCACGAACAGCTTCGGCAGTTCTTGTTGAAGGAACGCGATAAGGTCGTCGATCACAGCTGGCGGCACCGCGCCTTCCGCTACTTCTGCCACGTCAGTCTTGCTGAATTCGATCCCTGTTGTACTTCCCGCAGCGCGAGTTATGCTTCGGCGATGCTTCCTACTAGACTGGGATATGACGGTATTGACAGCTTTAGGTTGATGAGCGAAGAGCTCAGCACGTATGACGCCAGCCGTGGCGGGGTCTAGCTGTCTGGATTGAGAAAACACGGCATTCTGTTGGAAATTAGTGCTAAAAGTGACAAGTCCTGACGGTTGGACAGCTAAGCGACTAGAATGGGAATGGAGGAGAGATCGAGTGGCCATGGCCATAGTGTCTACGAATCCAAATGACCGAAAAAACCACCTTCAGAAGAACACGAGAAGGTAGTTTTGCTAAGACAATGCAGAGGCTTGTATGAGTCGCAGCAACAGTCTGATCTTACTAGCGCCTGAGAAGAATGCAGAAGCAAGATTTACGCTTTAATCAGTCCAAATGGAATTGGCTTGTTGATGGCATGCTCTTTCTGTTTTTATGGCATTCTGAATTTGGTTTCCTAGGTGGTGGAAGAAATCTGGCCTGGTCTGGCCTGGTTCGTGTAATAGGACTCTGGTGTCGTGCCACGTGGGTGATACTTGACGTCACGTCCTAGTGGATTTTCTCGAGGGCTTTGGTGGCTCCACGAGGCTCAGGAACAATTGTGGCTGAGAGACTGCCACGTCAGATAAACGAGTTCGCATTAGATGTTTCACGAAGGTGATCAGTCTGGTTACAGGAGATATGCGAAGTACACGATCGCTGAACTGCACTGGTGGGAAAATTGTCCGCCCCGCAAGTCACTGACATCGACCAGCTCCAGAATTTCGCGACGCGAGCAGCACGGCAGGCGCAGATATGAACCGACCATATCCCAAAAATCCCTGAAGGGGTGGACTACAGTACAGGTGGCGGGTAACCACCAATCCCGCAAATGCGCTGTGCCATTTCTTCCGACTGTTCTGTTCGCGAATCTGGGTCTACGTGGACGAGAAAATGGAGTCGACCAATTCATTGGAATCTGTA